AATTGACAAACAGAATGAAAAATTTAATTTCCTCTCGGGGATTAATAAAGTATATAAAATTAAATTAAATTAAATTAAATTAAAATTGCTGTCTGAAATACTCATAATCACAAATAAACGTAACAAATTGCTATTATTATTACTGCTGGTTCCGCCGATCTTCCGATTGGTGGACGACCCGCTCTACCTCTAAACCACAGCCACCCAATATTCATCATTACGCAATTATTATTATTATCGGTTACAATGACCCTTAAAGGAATGAAAAAGAGGACTTTTTTTGGTCGAACCGACACTTTATTAAGCTTGGAACCATTCTACTTCTGACAGGCAGACGAGAAGGAAAGGAGCTCTGAATATGCAGCTGAGATTCTTCTCCTGGGCTCCTTTTTATACCCTAGATAAGCAAATATAGTCTGATAACTGTCAATTTTTTATACCACAGTACACAGTTTCACGGTATACCCATGCAACCCTGACCAAAATAAACCAACAACGTATTGTACTGTGGCCACTGATAATCTTATGATTTTTTGGGGGACATATTCAGATCTCTGTGCTTTGCTGCTAATTTTAGAGCTAATGCTAACAACATCTTGCAATCTCTTCTGGTCCTTGTCACAAAAGGATGCAAACCAACAAATAAAATAAAAAGTTAAACTTATTTCCAAAGAAGACGAATAAAACGATATCGGTACTCTCTGTCCTCTTACTGTAAGTTATCCGGTGGCCCAAAAGTGAAGCCGTACAAGCCCAGTTCACATCATCATCATCATCATGGGATAATTCAATTGAACCATCAGGCCGACTGTCATCACGTCCATAACTGATGACATTACCACAGATTTCCGGCTGAGACCGCTCATGACCCATTTTTGGACTGCGGGAGAAGGTCTCTCTGCTTTTGAACTGATTGGTTCCAGGCCGTCAGTAATTATGGCTGCTGCTTTCACTGTTTTCTCTCTTCCTGTGACAGCGTGGCGGAGAGTTCAAAGTGGCTCTGAGTGATGTCCTGATGGCCTGGAAACACTTACTGTTAGACAAACTTCACCTGCCACCCCCCAACTTTGCACGCTTGGAGAACTATGATCTCATCCTGGAGGCATACGAATCCTTCCTGAAACGCTCCAACACTGTGGACCTGGTTGATATCCTCTCCATGTACAAACAGCTGAGAGTAGAGGAGACGGACCCTGGGGAGCCTGTGAGCCCGGTGAGCGGGAGCTGCTTGAAATCAGACTGATGTTGTCGATGATCAGATTGGCTGCTGAGTAAAAGACAACTCCAATCAATGTATCTCTCTAATTACTTTCTTTATTCTTGTACAAAGGTCGAGTTGTTTGAGTTCTTATCAGGAAACACGGAGGTCTCAGAGTTGCCAGACTCTTCAGTCCCGTCAACACCGTCCAGTAAAAGCAGGCCCTGCAGCTCCCAGGTAGGCCCAGTCTCACTTTCACACACTAATAAAATGTGCAACTTATTTCATAAACCACCAAAAGAAACCCCTCTTTCCACTTTGCCCTCTACCCTCCATATAAAGTTTTTTTTTTTTTTCTTCTTCTTCGGGAAAGTGAAATGCTTTTTCTCCCGCTGGCAGTAATCCACACATTCACTTTACTTAAATTCTGTCTGGAATCCATCCTGCTCATATTGACAGGAACTCTATATCATATCACTTAGATTTAAGAGCGCAATGTGAATTCAATTACCAGGCAGATGTTAAAACAACACAATGTGGGGCTGGACAAGAGCTTCTGTAACAGAGTCTCTTTTTACTCCACTTATTCTCTGTCACTTGTGAATTTATGAGTTTGTAGTGAAGGTTCGCTTGCTAGAGCGGAGTGATGTAATTTTTTTGGAGTTTAATACGGGCTGTCAGCTGCTGTTTTTAGTGGTTTTACTCATGCAGTAAAGCTACTGTCCGTTTTTGGTAGTTTAAAAACACAACCTGGGTTGGCCGCAAGCCAAAAGTTTGATATTTTGGGAAAAATGTTTCCATAAATCGTATAAAAAGATGGATGCAGCCAACATGACGTAAGCCACTGGTTTGTGGACTCCCATTTTGAGGCCTCGGGTTCGGCGTTTTGGGCAGTTGCCATCTTGGATTTTTGGGGCCAGAAGTGACCAGTGGGTGTCTTTAGGGATTGACTCACTCTTGGAGCCAGCCGCAAGTGGCCATTCGAGGAACTGCAGTTCTTGGCACATCTGGGATGTCTCTGTTTTTCAGCCCAGGAGGGTACTGCTAGGCTGTTTTTTTTCTGCTGGCAAATTAGATGAGACAACCGTAGTAGCTTAGCTTAGCACAAAGACTTAAAACAGGCTCAAACAGCTAGCCTGGCTCTGTCCAAAGATAACAAAATCCACTTGAACACATCTAAGGCTGCTTTCAGACCTAGAGTTGTCTCTTTTGGTCTGAATCAGGGACTAACTTTGTTACAAAGCTGCTTGCTTCATGTTCTCACAGCAGCATGTACAAGTGGACCAGATCAAATGCCTTGTGTGAGAAAGCTGCTCTTGATTGGTCAGAATTTCCATGTGGGAAAAATCCAGGAAGTGAAGCAAACATTGAAGAAGAGTACACTTGCAAGATAAATGTGACACTTTCTAATGTCACAATGGAGGGACAACTACGCAGGTTGATTTTAGCGCTGCTCATCGTGGACTATATTGCTGTCATTGTTCATTTTAGTCAAACCATACAGTTTGAAAACAAGGCGCGGCTCCAACTAGAAAACAATGTTTTGATGCATTGGATGTGCTGAATGTGCATATTAAGGCAGTACAGGAGGAGGTGCACATTAATAATCCTCCAGAACTGTAACAAACCTCACTAGAACTTGTTTGTTATCGGACTGAGACCACCTCTTCAAGAAGGTCTCGGTCTGGTTGTTTTGGTGCACACCTGAGTGTGATTGCTGTGTTCACATCTGACCAAACGAACCACACTTGTGGGGTTAACAAACTTGAGTTCAATTGAACTGAACCAAACAGGGCAGGTGTGATAACACCCTATACTTTTTTTGGTTGGGAGCAGGAACTTCCTGCAGTCTCCTCTTGTCGCCTGGCAACTGCTATTGAGAAATACATCTGACATAAATGTGAAACACTGAATTTTCATTTTTACACTTGAGTTTTTGTACGGATTAAAAAAACAAGATAAATCTTGTCACTAAGTGAGCTTTAGAGGTGTTTGAAGATGGATTTTGTCACCTAGCCAGGCTACCTGTATGAGCCTTATTCCAGTCTTTATGCTAAGCTAATTTAGCAGCTCAAGCTTTACATTTAGCAGACAGATATGAGTAGTATCAGTTTTCTCACATAAATACTTAAAGTCAAGATGAAATTAAAAATGCCCCCTTAGATCACATCCCTGTTCATATTGTGCACCTATTTAACAAAAAACAAATTCTTTGTATTTATATGTAAAATCGTATCATGTTTTCTTGCTTTAAAGCAAAGTATGGCGTGTGCTTACGTAAGAGAGCGCCAACCAATTTCAACAAATAATTTCATGACAACCTCCCATCAATCAATCTGCAAGTTTTAGCTGCACAGGGCTAAGACTAATTTAACTAGCTAGCAACAGCATGCTAAAGCTAGAAACTCTTGAAATGCTGTTTGATATGGACATTAGGGGAATTTAAAATGTTTTCCTCCCAAAAACGATAATGATGTGCTTAATTATTCTGTTTATTATCAACAGGTGAAAACGGCAGTGAGACGGGTTTTCTGCTCCTATCTGAATTTACTTGTGAACATCAAGAACGACCTGGCCTTGGCGCTAACCCTTGACGTCCCTAGTCGCACTCTTGGACGTCAGGCATTCACTGACATAAAGCATGCTGCACAGAACAACAACACTTCCCTCTTCTTGGTAAGAAAACACCCGCAGTCAGCATGTGCTCGGGCTTCAGCGATGATGTATTCACACTTTACATCACTAGAAAACCAAAGCTATGACTTTAGAATTGGAGTAATCCTCTCTGGCGCAACATTTGAGTCTCTTTCATGCTTTTGCAGGCTGTGACATCTTTTGTGAGGGCCATCCAGCTCGGAGGGAAGGGCTACGCTCCAGCTGAGTCTGACCCACTGAGGAAACACGTCAAAGGCCTGTCTGACTTTGTCCAGTTTCTAGACAACCTGGAAGAAATACTAGGGGAGATTCCTGACCCAAGGTACACAATGCAGCTTAATCCAGGCTTCCACTCGCTCCCTGTCTTACTGTTGCCTCTGAGGTAATACTTCCTTTCTTGTGACTGAGACGGCTGTAAATGTTGGAGGTGGGGACGTGCTCCATTCAAGGACTGAACTGTGATTCGTGCTCTATTCTCAATCTGTTTGTTTGTGGCGCTGGTCTTTCAGTACTTTGAAAGACTTCGTCATTATTGTGTCTGAAATCCTGACAACAGATATTTCGATGTGCCACAGCACGGGGGAATTTCTAGGAACTCATCAGGAATTGCGCCGCTCTGGTGAACCGATCTTCGTGCTAAAGCAAGAGACCATCAAGCCACTAAGAGTCACTGCAATCTTCCTGTCTGTGGTCCGGTCAGAGACACTGGAATTTCAAAAGGCATCCACAAGTAACCAAACAAATTAGGGTCTTATTTTCAAATTATATGATCAAATATTTTAAAAATAAAAAGGAATTTGAGGTCCAAAACTTGACAGAGTAAACTAACAAACAGCAAAAGGAGTAGTTCAACAGTTCTGGAGGAGAGTTAAAGTAAAATGTCAACACTACTTTCACATCTGTCAGGTAAAGGTGAAGTTGCAGCCAGCAGCTTGTTAGATTAGCTTAGCACAAAGACTGGAAACAGAAGTCAATGGAGCATTTGTTTGGGACTATTTTCAGCCGTGGATTAACACGCATTTGTTGCACTTCTGAATATTTACAGCAGCAGGACTGTGTATGTGGCAATAAGTCAAAATAAACAATGTTAGTGCTCATGGTAATGCTGGAACATGTCACCCAGGGCAACAGTGTAGCTCACTGATGTGGTTTAAGAGTTTTTGGACAATGATGGAGCTCTTTGGCTCAGAGGAAGAGGATACACACACACAAATGCTTCTTCAGCGGGATTTATACTTGTGCACCAGGTCTATGCAGACCCTACACGCGTGGCCTACGCCGTTGTGAGCATTTATACTTGTACGCTTTTTCAAACACAAGTACACAAATCAGCTTCACAATAACGCACAGCATTCACAGACAAACACTTGTCTTTATCTGAACACATTTTCCCCACAAATACAACATGCTAATGTTATTAGCACAAGGCTATGGCATTTTACATTGTATTAATTAGCCTTGCAGCTAGCGGACTTTTCCTCTACTCATATGAAGCCA